GGCTGAGGTGGAGGGATTGCCGGAGCCAGCAGGTCGAGGCTGCGGTGCCCGGGAGCGGCCACTGCACTCCAGTCTGGGCGACAGAGTGAGACTCCAACTCAAAAAAAAAAAAAAAAATTCTGCATCTACACCATATCTGTTTAGAGTACTGTATTCTCAGAAGACTAGGAAAACTGCTGCTCCAAGTTCAATGTTGGGAACCACTGCCAACTAGAGATCACACATATGGTTAAATAATAACCATATGACTACTTTTCTTTGGCTCCTTTTGAGATAAGAAGGCTTTGGCACAGTTTACATAGTTCTTTTTATCCATCTATTTCAAAGAAAGAGAAACTTAGCAAAAAAAGTTTATCACTAGGAAAAATAAAGCATTAATATACTTAAATCTGGCTAACAACATATAGAAGTAACAATAAAATAGGAGAACAATTTGACAGGTTTAAAGTATTTCATTTTAGTACTTAAAATTCCATTTATAAATTTAAGTAGATTACATCATAAAATGATCTGGCAAATTTCATATGATAACATCAACAATTAAACTTGAGGCCGGGCATGGTGCCACACACCTGAAATCTCAGCAGGTTGGGAGAGAGAGGTGAGAGGACTGCCTAAGCCCAGGGGTTCAAGACCAGCCTGGGCAACATGGCAAGACCTCATCTCTACAATACATCAAAAAATTAGCCAGGTGTGGTGGCTCATGCCTGTAGTTCCAGCTATTTGGAAGACTGAGGTGGAAGGATCACTGAGCCCAGCAGGTAGAGGCTGCAGTAGCCACAGTGTAAGACTCTGACTCAAAAAGAGAAAAAAGTGTATTAAACTTGAATAAAGGGTTAAACTACCCTAGTGCCAAGTATCAATAAAATGCCTTAACAAAATAGTAAAGAAATGACCATAGCCTCATGTTTTGTCATTTGTTTTTTTCAATATCATATCTGTATGATTACTTGTTTAATGCTTTCTCACCAACCAGACAATAAGCTCTATGAAAACAAGAACTCTTTTGTTCTACTCATTCTTATAGATCCAGCACTTCAGTATAAATGATTGGCAGAATATAGACACTCACATATTAAATAAATGTGATACTGCAATAATTTAACATAAAATTTTTTAAATTTATAAAGCCTACATGAAGTGTCTAAAACTTCTTAGACTTTTGCCCCCAAATCTTAATCCTTATTTGTGTGTTTGTTATAATAGAAGGGAAAAGAAAAATCCTAGTATCCAAATTTTTGATGCACAGCAATAAAGATACAGATTGGGCAGAATTGGCTACCAAAATTATAACTTAAATTTAAATCTTACTGATATCCTGGAGTTGGTAAACTATATTCTTATTATGGTTAGTTAGGCAGAGTTGGCTATCAAAATTATAACTTGAATTTAAAGTTTATTGATATCCTGGATTAAGTCAACTATATTCTTAATATGCTAAGTAGTAACTGGGGTTCTTCCCCATAACTCAAGTACTTTCTAGAAACCTATACCTTCCTTAAATTCAATATTCTACTGCCACAGTATTCTTTATTGATTGTTTAAAATTACAATATTATAAGTATTTTAAATATCATGGTGGTCCAAACAACTACTGTGAATTATAAAACTGTGAGTAAAACCAACTCAAAATGGGACAGGTAACCTTGCTTCAAACTATTTTTAGATAAAAAAGAAAAACAGAAACAAGGTTTACCACCAGAGACTACCAAGGAACAGTATCTCTGAATAAATAGTTTTCATTTTCCCTTTGAGTTCATATGCCTTAAATTTGTTTCTGTGTTTAAGTATCAATTAGAATAAATTGGCTTAGTATAAGACAGAAATTGCTATTTAATGACACGATCTACCTAATTTCCCAAACTCTAAATGTAGTCTACAAGCTGAAGGTAATACTGCCACTACATCTCTGCTGGCTACAGATTCAGCACCATTAAGATCTGGTAGGCTGGGCTTGGTGGCTCAGCCTGTAATCCCAGCACTTGGAGAGGCCAAGGTGAGTAGACTGTCTGAGCCCGTGGATTTGAGACCAGCCCGGGCAACTTGGCGAGACCACGTCTCTATAATAAATAAAAAATTAGCCAGGCATGGTAGCCGACTTAAAAAAAAAAAAAATCTGGCACCCTCTATTCCTTATTAAAGGTAAAACAGTTCATAGGAATTGAACATATTAAAATGTAAGTAATAGTATTTCAACAGAAATTACTAAAAATTTTTCACTTTTAACAGGGTTTTGTTTCTATTTGACTTGTTCTATGAGAATGTTTTTCTTCATATTTAAAAAGGAAAATAGTATACATGCACATTCTATTCATTAATTTCATTATTGAACTGGATTTATATGTAGAAATGCATCTGTGAAAAGTAAGCTTCCAGTTAAAAACAAAAACAAAAAACACTGGGGGGAAAAAACTTACCGGCAAGAACAATCTCTGTGAAGCACATGGTTTAAAAAGTTTTTTCCACTCTGCTGCATTCTCATTCGGAAATGTTATGGGGTATAATGTATAACTGAATGTTTGTAGAAATGACCAGCTATCGAGCTAAAAAATATTTTAAAAATAAAACATGAACCCAGTTTAGACTTGTTTCACTTTGAATTTTCTCTGTAAACTTATAAACCAATAGATTATGAAACAAAAGAGCTAAAAATTAAGATAATATACATTTTATGTTGTATGGTTAAGATAAAATTTCTTATTTTCCACCATTTTCCTTGTTTTCATTCAAAATCTAAAAATCAAAATAAGATGCCAGACTTTACCACTAAGATCTAAGGCATGATGAAAGTTACCACAAAATCAGAAAAGTTGAAAGAGCCTTGCAAATGTTCCTCTCCCTCGAGTTTACCTGATGTGTAAAATCTCTCAACCCCCTAAGCAAATTAAAATCAGGAAAATTTAAGAATTATATACTATAGTATATATGATATAATAGATGTTTACATTCAAAGTCAGTCCAAATATGAATCTGGTTAAAAAATATTTGACTATAATGCATAGTTTTAATATGCCTGGATATTCCTAATAAAAATTCTGATAAATACATAGTCAATGCCAACTTTTAAAAAAAATTACAAAAAGCAAAATATATCTGAGAATCTATAGTGAACACATTTACTCTTCAATATCCTAAATGCATTTCAAATTCAGTCTCAGTACTATTTGTCTATTATTCTTCCTCCAACAGAATTGTTGATTCAAATTTCCTAAAGAACATTCAGAAACAATCTATGGAGTGGGGAGATTAAACAGTTTATGTAACAAGTGTAAAATGATCTCGTTTAAACTATGACTGTCTTTAAGTAATTTTTAAAACATTAATATCTTCCAATATAGTTTAAGGAAATGCGCTTTACTGCCAACACTCTGCTTTTGTGTCTCTGCTGATTATTTTAAAGCACTAGCACTTTTATTTCCCTGCCCCAACTTATTAATCAATTAAAGATCATTTCAATATCAATTTCAAAATGAAATCTTAGTCATTTTTCATATAATGTAGTATTTAGTCACCTTTTATGTACTAAAAGCATGCTCCACAAAATATTTGATATACTTTCATCAAAAGCAAAACCAAACACTTCATGGTAAAAGAAAAACTAAGTTTAAAAATACAGTACTAAATGTTACACAAGCAAAAATTCAGCCAGGATTGGACAAAAAACAAAGGCTGAATCTAAGATGAAGCAATGAATGTTTTACTTTTTTATTATATTTTCTTATTTTATTTTATTTTTTTTGAGTTGGAGTCTCACTCTGTCGCCCAGACTGGAGTGC